ATGCCAAACAAAAACATGGCATCAATCCATGAAATCCTTGACAGTTAAACTGAGTCAAGTCAGGTAGGGAGATGCAGACTTCCGGGTTGGGGCCCTCGGGACTGTAAGAATCAATGGCTGGAGACAATAGGTGACATGGCTCAAAATCGTTGTCAGTGGCGCAGATGTATTCAGTCTCTGTAATCTCATTCTGTTTCACTCTATTGATTCTCTTCACTCATTTTCTTGTCTACCTTTGTGTGGTATTTGGAACGTGGCAACTCAAACTGCTGCACTTCGGTGCCAAGTTCTATGTAGAATCCAACCAACCCTTTGTTGCTGAGGAAACACATACTATATGTATGGGATTATACAGCTTGAGAATGATGTCATTGAAAAGATTAACTCTTCACTGAACGCCTTTTCTTTTATAAGAATCCATTTGTAGCAACAGAACTCAAGAGTATTTGACAACAGAAACATTTGTCGGAAACTCAATACACAGATGTAGACAAAACACGTCTACTATATATATTAAAATCACACTTTGCGCATGTCTTCGACAATGCGCTACTTCTATCTTCCGTGTTGTACTTCTTTGTCGTCCTTTCATGTTGTTTCATGAGCCCTGTTCATTACATCTATCACTCCACTATTCGATATAATTGCAGATGTTAAACATATTTACGTCTGAATCTATATTATCACTATTGTTCTTTCCGTGGGTTCCGAAGGGAACATACGGCTGGCTTCAACAACACATCTTCACTCTGTTCTGTTTTCTGCTGTCCTCTTTAGCTGGCTAGGTCCACGATTGACCATAATCTCTCAACTGCTCCTCCAACTCGCACGACCTCCTTCATACCACATTCGTAGTAACTACCCACCCGTCGCTTTCCATTCGGATTCCACTCGAGAGATGACTTGGTGCAAGATGTTATTCGATGATCTCCTCAGCGTGTGTCTAATCTATTTCCATTTTCGACTACAAGCTTGTTCAGCAATAGGTTCCAAATCGGTTTGTGTTCCCATAGTTCTTTTTGTTGCTTATTCTTTCTGACCTGCTGGAAATTTGAACCAGTGAAGGCACCTGTAGAAAAAAATTCTGCAGAGGCCTGTTGAAAACGCTTTACGTGACGCCTGCACCAAGTTTCTGACTTAACATTGTTGATGAAAATCCGAGACTTGTTCATTATGCTGATTGAGTGCAGAAGATTTCCAAACTGATTTTAGGAAGACGGAGGTCTGTGTCTTGTCTTTCCGATTCTGGTTTTCACTGACATCCTCATTTGTGCTGTAGCCTGTGGTTGACACGATGCTTCCTAGTCAGATAAGCGAACGAAGTAACCTATTTCAAATGTATTCCGCTTATGGTTCACTTGAAGTCCTGGCTTCACTGCTTCTTCAGTTAGTTTGTTGGTTTTCGCCTGCAAATCGTCGATTTTGTTTGACTACTATTACTACTACTACTTACAAATCTTTTCAGTAGCACACATCACACAGTCTTTTGATATCATGTCATCAGTATTCATAAATTAGGTAAGCCACCAATAAACTTGGTACTAATATGCATCACTTTTGGTACAACTGGTCAAGTGTTACTATAGACTAGTAACACAGATAACCTTTGACACTAAAAACAAACCCACTGGACCTTGAGCACCTCTGGTAAGAATCTTCTATATAGGGACATATATACAACCTTAAGATAAGCCACAGCCTCTTACTGTTGAATTTATAGATTCCACTGTGGTGAGAGCTGTCTGCAAGCCAACAGTTGTAGAAAAGAATTTACGTCAATGTTCACGTCACTAATCGGGGGCATGAGAGAAAACAATAACAAAGCTTAACCTTGAGGAACTCACCAACCAATCACAGAAGACAACGTGTACAAATACGATTCGTAGATATATGGCTTAACTTTCTGAGAAACGGTCACGAGCAGTAGAGAATAACCTTCAGCAAGAAAACAACCAATCAGAAGAGGTTGCTTTTCCGCTGACAATAACGCTAATAATAATGTACATAAAAATCTATAAATATCTGTTGATTTTCTGAATAAACGATCTGTTTCCTAGACCTTGTCTTCTGTCGTAAGGATGCTACTCATTTAATAACGATGATGGACTGGTTAGTATGGCTTTCTACAAGTTAACTTGCATAACCGGTGCATTATAATCTTAATGAACAAACAGTGATTAACTTATAGTGTAGAAAATTTAAAAGCATGCTATCGATCTGATAAAGTCTTTGACTCTTGGTGTCAGTTAGTCACTCTATATCAGTAATAAATAGGATTGATGAAATGTTTAATTAATAGGGCATTTAAAAACTAAATAGTACCAAGGAGAATGAAAAAGAGGAAGTGAGGCCTATAAGAAGGGAAGCTTTAAAACTTAATAATTACCCTGATAAATTGATCAGGAAGTATGTAGGAAAATGTAAAAATAAAGTTAATATTATAAATAATAGTAATAATATGAACAATGACGACATGTATGTCAAACAGGTACAGGATAATGACAACACAAAAAATAAGGAATTTAAATCAACAGTAGTATTTCCATGCAAAGAAGGAATCTTAGAAACCACCTTACGCAGAAGGCAGGAATAAAAGTGGATAGCGTTCAAATCCATAAACCCAATTAGAAATAAGCTTTGTTGGTTAAAGGATCAGTCCTGTGGAGCCAATTAAATAAAACAACTTAGTTAATCTAATACCCTGTTTGCAATGACTGTCAGGTCAAATACATGGGTCAGAGTAGTAGAACGGGGTCTGTCAGACTAGCGGAGTACAAAATCCTAGTAGAATCTAGATCAGTTGACCTTCATAAGATAAGGAATCCAGAGAACAGCTCAATCATGGCACAAACTACATGCGGTTACACACAATAGGATGGGATGACAGTTCTAAAAAGAAAACGTTATTTGTCGAATTAACTGAGAATAAGTGCAATAGGAATGATTAAACACATGTCCTAGACATCTGGAAAACTCTACTGGCCCTACGACCAATAGAAAAGAGTAAAAAGCACTATAAAACGAAAGTTTCGAAGTTGGGTTATTATATGATCATGAACTACAATAAATTGTATTCGAAACGTCGTCATTCAGTAAATATTACTGTTTCATTGTTTAGTATATCTAATAAATAAATCAATAAGAATGATGAGGAGTTGAACAGTTGAGCTTTAGTTCAAAACGTTAGTCAGCCAGTTATAATTCACGAAGTATTCTGCAAACCATCTCCTTCTAAAATCTCCAACCTCATGGTTAACTTATAAGTACTTGTAAGTACACCTACTTTGACGACATACACAAAGCTGAAAGAATTTTAATCTTGTCAAGTTTGTGGAAATAAAGTGTTGCAATAATTCAAAATAAATATTAAAATAATAATCTATTCTGTAGCTGTACATGTAAGAATCATGTCGCTCTTTCGAACATCATCGTGCATGGTAGTTATGCGAGGGACAAACAAGGTCTATTCGTAAATGTTTTGGCACACCATGAAGAAACAGAATACATTTGGTGTCAACAAGGCAATGAAAGTTCTCTGTTGTATTTCAACTAATCTTAATTTTGTCTTACAAGTTCATCTTCTACATGTAGCTGAAGCTGTCAAAATCCATCTTCAGAAAAAATCTGCACATACACTTTCCTTACCTTGGTCATCATTACTTAATTGTAAAAGTTTGATGATTTCTCCCTCCCCCTAGGTATTTTCCAAGTTATTGTCCTTTTAGTGCCTTTAGTTGTTGCGTTAATTCCCTGCTTAATATTACCTAATGCTAGTTTAGTGTTATATATATGCACATTACCAAAGACACACACACACACTGTTTTGAACTATAATCTACTAACAATCTATTCACATATTTTTTTATTCCTTTACGTTCCCACTGGAATATAGGGCACCTTCAAGCTAGAGGCTTGAAGTTTCCGTAGCGGTGGAATTTTTTATTTTTACGGGATGGGATTACTAGCCTCATGCCGCACAACCTTCCCTCTTTACCAGTCTTATTACTGGTTTAGTAAAGTAAGGGAGGAGTGTGTCGGTGGCAGGGAATTGAACCCCAAACAAACTGTGTATTTGGCGAGTATTTTACCGCAGTGCCACCGACGCACACATACCTCTTGGAATTTTAATGTTAATGATCCAATGTTACTTTTACTAAAAAGCAAATTAGCATAGTCAAACAACAATTAATATCTAACTATTATTGATGGATAACTGTAGAATCTGATGAGGAAGTTGTCAAAACGAATACTGGTTCTCACACCGAGTCATAAACTCTTGGAACCGACTCCCAGAAGAAGTGGTGTCTGCAACCTCAACTGATTCGTTCAAGAAGGGTTTGGACAAACACAGAAATTTACTAGAAAAGGATTAACATAGGCTCCAAGCCTTCTATCCTCAACCAATAAATCTGAAATCTGCCCCTTTTCACCTTCGACACATAAGAATGTAGTACCGTACAAACACTAAGAAAGGCATGTGGATATACAGTTTTGCTGACTGCAGTGCGTAATGAAATAATGCAAACGAAGATAAACATAAACTAAACCAAACTTTAATTAGCCGATACTACCAATTCTTCGCCTCTATGGAAAAAAATAGGTAACGCATAATGAAATATTGAAAACTAGCCGTATAAACATAGCATTAGTATAATTGAAATGCAGAGTTTAAACATGAATGCACTCCTAAAATATCCAACAAGTTAGATGCACACTGGTTTAACCTTGATACAAAACACAATACTAACATACCACCATTTATAGACTTATATCTCCAAAAAATACAAAATCTTACAACGATCGTTGATTGACTTTAAAATTGCGGCTATTTAGTAGGTCTCCTTCAAGAACTTCTCAGTTTTTACTGATTGTATACTTTATATTATTATGGTTATTAGATGCTTACAAATAATATTGACTTTAAATGAAAAGCACAAGAGCAGCTTTGATAGTCAATAATACAGGTATTTACAATTAATAAACATATACTGAGTTTGTTTTTACAAAGGAACATTTTTAGCTGTTGCCTTCTGAACAATATTCTGACCTTCTCGTTTTAAAACAGTCAGGAGAGTTTGGGAACTCTCAAGGATCTATGAGATAAAGTTGCAACAGTAGATGCCAACACATACCTTCATGTAAGCTGCTTCTGACTCTGCAATAGTCCTATCATATTCATTTCTGGTTGCCAGTTTCTTCTGAAGCGCTTCATTAACCCTGTTAAGCTTATCACTTAGAACATTTATTTCTCTTTGGAGCTTAGCGCGTTCATTTTCATCTTGTTGAATCTGACGTTGCAATTCTTCTCGTCTTTTGCAAAGCTCCTCAAAACCTAGAAATTTAATACACTTTGAGATGTATGCCATACATTTTACAAGTTCATTATTGTAGTTTTGTAAAGCAGCCCCTTGATGAGACATGAGAAAATGTATACGAATCACGCGCTTTTGTTGTCATGACAATCACGAAACACATGTCATTTCATTTCAGGCTATAAGACCTGATCCATTAGTGTTAATTAACTCTTCTCATCTACTTCCCTCTCTAAACAATCTACTGAAGACACAGAAACACTCCATATAACCGTTACTTTCAAGATTGAATGACTCCTTAATGTCCAATATCATTTTTACGGGCTAGTGTAAAACAAATTGATTTCTTTATGATCGCTTCTTGGTTTTAAGATTAGGTTCCCTGGTCTCCGGTAAACTTCTGCGCAGTTCGTCTTGCCACTCAACTTTCGTAGCTTTGGTTGGCTCCAAAAGGAGAGGCGTTGGGATTAATTATATTAAGTTTCTAGTATGCAGTGTATTAAGAACGTGTTGCTACTGTGAATAGAGTTGATCCTTTTACCTGATGTCATCAAAAGAAGAAAGATGACAATAACAGATGTAGTCAGTGTGGGTTATGTAGACAAAAAAGAAAACATACAAACATAAAAATATTTGAAATTGATATATATGTATGTATGTATGACAACATAAGTGAATAGATAGAGAGATTGGTCAGAATATTAAGACTAAGGATAGTGGGCAATAGTAAAAGATGAGTTTAGGTGTTTACCAACTAATAGTGTGTGTGAATTTTAAGGGAATAGGCCGTTTGGACGTTGTCCTTATACTGCTAAGTGGTTATCCAGCCATCGCTTACAGCTTCGCGCAGACGGTGGAGCAGTCACATCTACTGGCAAAAAGTTCCCGAGGAGGAAAACTCAAAGTGAAAGGAAAAAGGAGCGCATGAGAGACAAGATTCTCATGCGCTATCCTTCGTGGATTGTTACGATGGAGCCTACACCTACTTAGTGGCAGGATTCCTTTGTTTGGGTCATTCTGGTTATTCTTAGTCTTATAGGCAGTAAACGAGTCACCTCTAAGTTGACAGTAGCTAAGTGTGGAAAGGTATAACTTCTTCAGACATTCATACTATAGTTTGTTTCGGAAACCCAGTGCTCCTTTTGTCTTCCGTCCTTGAACTTTTTCTAAAAGACTAGTTTCCTTTCAGAGAAAAAGGGGGAAATGATATTGCACACTTCAAGGAGTGTTCCTACGTATGTTCAGCCTCGGAAAAAACAGGGTGTGAGCACGCATATCTGTGTGCAAAGTGCATAACCACATATGCCCCCACTGCTTCACTCATGTAATTCACTCTAGGGTACATTTCTTCCACTAGAACTAGATCTAAGTAGTGATGTAAAGTTACACAGGACAAGTTATCTTAACCCGAGGAGTAAATTATATTCTGCAGCCTATGGGTGCGGGGTTGCACTACTTTGCGATTTTTCTGGATGAAACTCATACCATTGACCAGTGCCCAGCCCTCCACAACTTTAAGGTCTGTCTGCCGCACACAACCAGCCATGGCAGGTCACTGATGAAAGTCAAAACCATCGGTGGACCTAGGGTAGAACTCTGCAATATTCCTGATGTCAAAATGCACCAGGGTGATCAGACGCGATCGACTTTGATGCAGAATCTCCTTCCACGGGAGAAAGGGGCCACCAATACCCTTCTGACTTATCTTGCGTAGGAGGAGGTCGTGCTAAACTGTGTCATATAACTTCATGAAGTCGAATAAGATCATGTGGACTGGAAAATTCATATTCCAGCATGGAGCCTAACCATTCCAAGCTGGTAATAAATTTGCCTCACAGGATCTGCCTCTCCTGAGACCATTTTGCCCTTCGTGGTGTATGTTACTCATGTCAAGATGATGTCTGATCTGACAATCATTCAGACTCTCCACTGCCTTTGATACAACTGGGAGTAGTGCAAATGGTTTGTAACTCATGGCATTTCGCCAACCGCTATGCTTGAAGATATTATGATTTATAAATAGTTTGATTGGCATATCTCAGGCCTAGGTTTAGTCCTTGTCTGCTAGCCTTCTTTCGAAAGGCCGCAACCTCAGACTGCTTCCAGGTGTGATTATTCTGTAACACTGTCATGCTTGCTGGAGAGTGCAAGCGTTCAATTTGCAATTCTGGAACTCCCTTTTGCCCCTACCACCGTGTCTCCATGGTTTATACTAATCTGATGTTTCCCGGATGTGATTTTGGATACCTTTGGTTTCCGTGGATTTATACCCCTAGTCGGTTGGACTGGAGTGTCTTGATTACAGTTTTCGGAGGAACACTGCATGAAACTGTGTCAGGGTAACAAAATGGGCATATGTACCAAAACCATCGACACGGGTTGCTTCGCATAAACTCGTAACATGGCTTGTGCACTCCTTTGTCGTCACATCAGTCCCCCCACCTCTTGCAAAATTGCATTCAAGTGCTGGACCACTTTTGGAAACAATCTCACCACAAGCCTGCAGTCGATCCTTTTCCCAGAAAACTCCCTCGATGTCCTATGATGTCTTGAGCGTTTGTTTTTGTCCAACTACGTGTGACACACTGGCTTCCCGTGGAAACAGGTGTGGCACGATGTCTGTTTGATTCGGCCGATGCAGTTCCAGTAGCGGACTGTGGCGACATTGGCATTTTATCAGAGCAGGGTGCATGTGCTCTGGTCTTAAGGACCAGTACGTTATATTGTGCTATCGGGTCGTCCCCCCCCCCCCAGCTGAAGCTCTGGTCACTGCCAAATGCGGCGTAATATGCTCTTCTTGACGCTAGATTCAACAGTCATGTTATATATATATATTAATTCCTGTTTATGCAGGAACATACCAATTGTACAGGCATGGATAAGTTATTATATAAATTACAGTTTGTTTGTTCAATCTAACATTAGAGTCAGTCAGAACAGTCTGCAAAATAGTTTGTCTGTGTAACACATAAAGAGATATAGAAATATTGTCTTCGCATTAACAAAAAACCCAGACTTAAGATGAATGTGATACAAATATCTGGGAAAAATAAAGCTTGAAGTCAATTCTCCTATAAAACTTTGTTGTGAACAGCATCCGTGAGATAAAGTTTATTGATGTATTATTTTGATTCAATAATGTATTTATTCCATTTTTGTCAGCAGTCTTATCGTAGTTTTATAATAGGAAAGAAATTTGATCTTTGATACGAAAATTAGATAAGGTAATGTTAAATTGTTTTACTGCATCAAATGGGGGCAATTCTAGAACTATCCATTTGCGCCATTTGCGTCAGCATGGCAGACTGTACATGTAAGTTGGGTAATACATTGAAAACTGTTTGAAAACCGGTTGTTTCTTTATATCAGATCAAGAATACTCCTTGTACAGAATGTTGGCCAGCGTTTCCAAGTGGTTGCAACGGATCGTTCATGGAATTTGAGTTTGAATTTACTTAAATGGTCATTTCAGTTTAGATGATGGGTTGTTCGACCTCGACCAGGAGATATATAGAAATGCAGGCTCAGGATATAATAACAGAAAGAGAAAGTATGTAAACATGAACAGGACGTTAATATTTTATGTATATATAAATGTTTATAAATGTATATCATTGTATAGTAAACACTACCTATAATCTAGTTGTTTTTCATGTAATTTTGCGAAGTCTTAGAGTTTATTTAGTGTCATAATATTTAGTAATGAGTCTAGGCGTTATAGTGTTCTAATAGCTGATGCGTTTTAGAAATAAGTGGTGCGGTGTGATTGGCATAGTCATTTGGATGAAGCAGTTCATATAGCAAGCGTTTGAGGGTTATGATAGAGTGACAGGTCCTTATTTCTAGGGGTAAAATGTTCCAGATCTTAGAGTACATGACTATGAAGAAGTTTGCACGGAGTGTTGTCTTGCAGTTTTTCCTAGATACTGTGCACGTTTGGTTACGAAGATTGTAAGAGCCTTCCGGTGAGAACTGTATCTCCTTACTGTCTGAGAATGATATTTTATGCAATATTTTAAAGAAAAATGTTAGGTTAATGCTCAGTCGTCTCATCCAGAGTTGGTCGATACCTAGAGTTATACACCTTGATGTGTAGTCCTTTTCGCAGTCAAATCCTAGTAGTTTAGACGTGAAGTATCGTTGGACACTTTCTATTTTAAGTTTGTCACTTACGCGAGTGCTGCTGAGAATAAATGGACAATATTCAAGTAGTGGTCTGACACAAGTTTTATATAATAATAGTTTTGCTTCGAAGCTGTGGAAATTCCTGAGTATGCATCCTAAGAGCATTCTCGATTTACGCGTCTGTGTCGCCACTTGCTCAGAAAATGTCAAGTCACTAGAGTACCTGAGTCCTAGGTCAACAATTATTACCAATTATTATTAATTATGATTAAACAGCAGTAATTGAAATGGCAGCAGGGTATCTGCCCAATAGAATAGGAACAAAAACTGATAAAGTATAAGAAAAAAGTTTTGGCATTCAGTTTCACGACAGTCACCTAGTAGATCTGATCGAGTGAGAAAGATGCTATTACAAAATTAGCGCTTAAAGCCAGGGCAGTAGTTCCAGACAGCTGGAACTACCATGCGGGTATTCAATATGTAATTAATCGTTGAATTGGGTTTAGAGACTGGGAAGCCACACCTACCGAGCGGATAATTCACGAAGTAGGTACTTTCCCGCTACAGAGGAAAACTCACGTCGTCTACAAGGAGCGCATAAGAACCACTTTTCCGCAGTGATTTGGTTTATTTAATCTCTTTCCATGTCCTTTGAGTTGTTCCAACTTGACAAGAATTAGAAAAGGAAACAGATCAGGTTCACTGTCATGAAAACTCTTTGTAACATGATTACGTTTTCAGTCTACCAACCGAATAATACCGAAATTAGATTTTGTGGTTTCAGTCATCCCTGGTATGATAAATCGGTCATACCACGTCGTCATACATGTATTTATCCTATGAAGTCTTTCCGCCATTCGTAAATGGGTTCTTTAGATGTTCAGATGCAATTTTCCAGTTCGGAACTCAACAAAAACGCTTACAGAATGGCTAACAAGTCACTGGCGAAACTAGAGGTCTCATATGTTGCCGAAATGGTACCA